CGCCACAATGCACAGGAAATGTATTCAAGAGAGTGAACATTTCCAGAACTGGAAGTGTGTAGAAAATATACAGCAATAACTTGAGATACGAGAAAATTAAAATAAAACTGCGGTTTTGTTTTCGATAATTTTACAGATGTTTTCATTCAATCGCAGCAGACGAACGCCATTAATTCAGGTGAATATGATCTACTGCGCGTGATCTGTGGTAACGTTTAATCAAAGCTGATATTCAGTATATGTGTTATTGTGTATTTGCATGGCATTTAATACAATAAACAAATCCAGTTAAAGCCTGTGAACAAATGTTGCATTTTAGTCAAATAAAATATCCCTAACTTTCTTTTTCCTTTACAGAGACCTGTAAGTGTTGAGAATTCCCCGTCTTCTCGTTCGAGTTCAAGATCCTCTGTAGGGTCTCCTACCAACTGATTGCACCACTCTGCGATTTTGAGGAAACAAAGCTACAGTTTGTTGGGCTTGAGGGATTGCAGTGTTTGCAATTACCATACCAAACACTTAAATTGTAACTTTTGACAAAACCATGTTTTAATTTGGGTTTTGACAAGCTAATGCGTTTATTTTGAGAGCTGTTTTGACCAGGGTGTCAGGGGAAACAGGAATGGGAACTACTTTACAGATGTTAACTCGGGAGCAGCAATTGATGACAAATTACAATCAGTCAAGTTTCTGGAAACTAAATTCTGTTGTTTTTCTCTGGACACTTGAAAGTGCGCAGTGTTAAATCACATACAAAGCTATTAAAACATCGATGACTATCTTGCTTGCTGTGTTCTTGGAACATTACCCTTTCGGTATAGCAATTATGTACTTCAAAATGAAACAATGATGCTTTTTTGAAAAAAAAAATACTTTGGATGTCACACCTGAATATCAACAATCTTTTTTTTTACACATTACCTGTCAACTTCCGACCAGTATCTCAGGATAATCTTTTTGCTTAAGTTGATACCAATCTACTTCAACAGCCTTGATTAACGCTAGCATTTCAAAATGTTTTGATTCCAAGAATCCAGGCTATGTTCCTCTTTAACTAAGCTTTCCAAGATGCACTCAGCTCTGGGAATGTTGAGAATATCAACAATATGAGGAGGTTGTCTTTTACGTTTAATCCATTTTACCCTCAAACCTCAGTTTTAAAGGAAGTTTTATCCAATACGTTTGACTGTTCAAAATTCAAGATAGAAACCCTTGTTTCCATGCAAAATGTGACCAGCTCTAGAAAAATGGGTAATAAGTCGCCAGATTCAGGTTATGCATTTTTGATACGGCTGGATTCTGTACATCACAAGCTACAATTTGATATGTGAATGACCCCTGTAGTGCACTGCGTTCCAGAGATATATAGACATTTGTATATCCACATTTTCATATTCAATAAAAGCACCTTTCGGTAAAAAAAGCTCATAAAGTGTAGCGCTTGGAAACACAATGCTTTATAGGATTTCTTACTGAGTGATCAATTTTTCATCTTTATTCATCAGTATCAATGTTTGCAGTCACAAATTCTGAAAATATAAATATTACATAAGGTACTAAAGGAAAAAACACAAAACCACATTTTTGAAGAAATTTTGCCCTCTTCAAACAGAACAGGCCAATACGAGTTTTGGCATGGTGCGACTAAATACCCTTCCTTGCAGAGCGGGTCACATATTTACTGAAGCAGGTGAGCAAAGTCTTATGGAATATACACTATCATCAGTGACGATAACAAAGGAATAACAAATACAAGAAAGGTAACGTTTGTATGATACAGAGTTATAATAGCATTGTCTACTCCCAGCTCTTGATTGTGGCATCATATTCATCAGGCTCGATGAAGGGTCTATCAACAGATCTACCAGAAAAAAAAAGAGAAAAAACATTAAGTTTGTTGGACATATCATTATAAAAAAAAGGGGAATGCGTAATACTTCTTGCACTTTTCTTTGTTGCATTGTGTCTGCCAGATGAACCTGAAAACCTCAAGAGATTTGCCATTTCATTTCAAAACGAAGCATAAACCCTGCCCCCTGACTCTGTATGGGCCACGAGCGGAACCAAGAGAGGGTGCAATTTTCCCTAGCAACGAGGGGCTCCTTTGGTGGAAACTGCACTTCACTGGTTCACGAGCAACTATGAAATGCAAGTGCTGCAGTCGCATTGCAACCAACAAAATAAATACCCCCCCCCACCAACATGGCTCTTTTTAACCAGTAAGGGAATGCTCTGCTCAAGGTGAATTCGTCGGTCATAAAAATATTCAAAAGCTGCTCCTCGGCCACATGTAGTGAGTCCCCCCCCCGTCTCTCAAACTGAACAAAAGATTTTAAAATTTTGTCCCTGTGGCTAAGAACCTGCAATACCCCCTTCCCCCCACCATCCCAAGTCAAATCTGGAGGCCTGGTATCAACCACATATCCTTCTATGGGAACTATAGGGAAAGGGTACTCAAACACTGGACATACGATTCTAAAACTTTCATGTGCGGTTGCATGGACCAGGCTTCTGTAACGGTTAACACACTGACCGACTGTTTGCTTTTACCTGATCATGATTTCACCACAGTATACGCACTCAGCGGCAATGATGTCGTCCAGTTCATTCTTAATCTGATCCGTCTCGTCGCGCTTAGTTATGGTATCACTGGAGGGCGCTGAAGAGGTCGGAGGTCGATGGGTCTGCAGCTGTGACAAGCGTCTCTGTAGCTCGGATATGCGAGTGCGTTTGGCTATCGTCAGGTGGGGTAAGACCTGGCAAATCAAGTTTGGAAACTGGTGTAGCTTGAGAGGTATTTCAGCGGCATGGTAACAGACACAGTTCTTATTTCTCGGAGTGTTACAGGTTTCCCTGGCCAACTCAAACTGGGCGAGGTCACACTGTTTGAACTTGGCGAAAAGGAGCTTAGAAGCAGCTCAAGAGACAATGCGCAACAGTTTGGCAAGAAAAAAAAAAAGGTTCCTGAACTCTGTTCAATTGGGTCCATATGCTAGGCATTTGAATGAGAGTTTTAAGGTGATTTTAAACCACAACTCTGGTCTCTCTTACTTTCGAGGTGACCGGTAAGGCTTTTTAATACAAACATCAATAACTTACCTCTTTATTCAAGCAATCTGCGTGAAACATGTGTTGACACGGAAACAGGTAGAAAGATCGTGTCAAAAGTGGGTAGTTACATGACGCACACTTCTGGCTACCTCCAACAATGCCGTACCTGAATGTTGGAAATACACTACCAGGGTGAATCTGAAAACAGCAGACGGGAAAACTGTGTGCTAGGTGTACGACTAATGGTCCAATCCTATGGAGCGCATGTGCTACAGCGTATGTGCCTCTCCAATGCTGCCCTGCATGTCAAATTTTGTTGGTTGTGCCATCACGGCTCTAATATGATTCACAACACAAAGCGCCACCAAGAGCTTGCCGCAGACGGGCCACTTTTCAAGCTTACGGTCAACACGCTGCGGCAATCGAGCACACATTGATACGTAACTTGAGGATATTTGATTGAGTCGCTCCCTGCACCACACAAAACCATCATTCTGACAACCAATGCCCGTTTGCAATAAGTAATTTCAAATTTTCAACCAAGAAAAAGAAACATTTGGAAAAATTGAAGTCTCCCACACACAGGGCAGTTAGCGAGTGAGACTTTTGTTGACTATTTATCCCATAATGCACTAAGAAAATGCCTCTCCGTGACAACCTCTTGGTGGCGCACTGCATTCTGAATTGCCCGTATTGGTTCAACATGCCGAACAAAACTGAATGGATTGGTTTATGAATTTGTAATTGAATCCACACAAAAATCATAGGATGCGGTGAGCTACTGATGCTTCCATTACTGAAAAAATATTGGCCGAGTGCTTTCACCACAATTTTCACCTCAACACAACTTTGAAGTGCAGAACTCAAATACCACAATGCCCAAATTCGTAACTGAATCCTGATGAACTGGACATCTAAACTATCAACACATCATAGCAAAGAAGACAGTAGATGTAGGTAAGGGATGAGGAATTCAAAACTGACTTGTTCCTGACTTCCTGAATGTCACCCCTGATGGCTTTGGCACTCTCTGTAGCATCTTTCATCTCATTCTTGAGGGATTCAATGTGCTGGTTGTAATCAGCCAGGGAGTTGCATATTGCATCCTGTGATGATAAAAAGTGGGAGTTTGTTGCACAGTTCAATATGCAGATATGGACTTCCATACTGGATAATATGGAAACTACGGCCCTGGGGTGATGTCCGAACGGCAGCATTTTAACTGGAAAAAGCCCAGGGTCTGGACACAACTAGAGTTAATGAGGCCAGGATCGAAGTTAGGACTGACCAAAACATTAGACTACATTTCATGGCTCTGGTTGAAGAAACTTCAGTCTAGCAGAAAACTCTGCATAAACGGTTAGTGCAGTTTCCAGGTTAGTGAAGAATTCTGGCTTGTGCAAACATCCCAAAATTAAGGATTTTACACAGATAGAATCAGCACAAAATTTCTGGGCTATCATTCCAAGCACAGAATGGTGATTGCAAGGACAAAATATTTTGATACGGAAAAGCTAGGAAAATCAAGGCCTATAAAAACGCTCCTGGGGTGGATCAGGCACTAACAGAGCTAAAGTCTAATAATTACGTTAACTTCACTTGCATGTATCTGGTCCACACCCAAGCAGCGCAGATGGACAATACCTTGAAATGGTCAATGGTAACAAAGTCTGGGAAGAACGGCAGGATGTCTTCTATCTTGAGTTGCGGGCATTCCTGCAGCACCAACATGGCCTTCTGGATGTCGCTTTGTTCCTCCACGACATGTCTGGCGATACGCAGCCATAGTTTCTTCTTCAGCTCATCGTCGTCTTCCGGCTTCTCAGCACTCTGCTTGGCAAGATCAACGTCCACCTGGGCGGATGCCAAAGGCATAGATAAAAACTGTGTGGCAGACTTTAGAAGGCTCTTTTCAACCGATGAGGGGGTGCTTCTGCTCCGGGAGGATGGGTTTTCAGTGTGGAAGACTTTCTTCTCGGTGACTTGTGACTCGTTTTATTAAGTTTGGTCACAAGTGGATGCTTGCAGTTGTCGATGTGTCAGAGTTGGTCATGGAAAACAGCACCAAGGTTGGCTGCATGTCTTCCAACATGTTTCAGAATAACTCGACAAAAAATAATCATGCAGCAAAATACTTCTGCACAACTACATAAAAGCTTGTCATTCCAGATGATGTTCACTAAAAGAAGTACGGACCTTCTCTCCCTGGCATTTTTGCTAAGACACTTCCTGAATTCCACAAAATTCACTGAGCAGGACACCAGTGGCACGTTCCCTGTCCATCAAGCCCCATGTTAAGCAACATTAGCCGAGTCCTACATTAACTGGTCCATCAAAATTCTCAAAAAGCCTCAAGGTGGATTTTGAAGGGTCTGACGAGTGTTGGGGTCAATGAAACCAAATACTGACGAGACCCACCTGCAGTGCTAAGTCCACAGCCTCCTCATAAAGACCCATTGTTGTGTAGATGTGAACACACGCCCTCTTGTGGTTGTGTTCAGCACATAGTCTCAGGGCGTATTTCAGATCGTAGTTAACATTCTCTTCGATCTAAGAAGGAAGCATCTCGTAACTTAACCTTGTTGAACTCTTCCTTAAACACGAGGCTCTTAATTATTTGGGTTATTTCATGATAGATCATCGAACATGTTCACAACGAACTTTAATAAGTTACACAAATGTTCATTCATTCACTGATTCCTTCCTTTAATGTAAACTTTAACAGATAAGTTGGAAAATTTTCATGTCTATTATTGTTATTAAAGTGATTTCCATCATGACAACTTGAGAGATTGAAACATCACTTGAACATATGAGCTAAGTGAATTAATTAACCTGTAATTTGCGATATTGCTAACTTTGAAGCCATTTTACTATGAGGGTTAAGTTTCAAAGAGTTGTGAGCAAACAAGTTGCAAGCATGGAGGCATTTTATTTGCCAAAATAGGTGAGCCACCCAAATGCTATGTGACATATACACCACTTCTGACTGGTTTCCAGTTGTTCTTCACTCGGCGATTAAAACTGACTTCAAAGTCAATGTTTCTACTCACATTTTTCCTACTCAATATTACATCCCGCATCAAAGGTTGAACTAATAATCTCACTTCCCTGTGCATACTCTGCGCTTTGAGATTTGAAGGATACTGGCACACAGGGATCAGTGTGAGTGGAAACATTGCTACGATAAAAACTGGCGTTACAAGGCAAATCTTGTGTTGTGTACTTACATCTCCTTGTCGCTCTAGGTATCCCATGAGCTTGTCTGGCTGGTACTTGGCATAGAGCGACAACATATAGTTGTGGATGGCCTGCTCTGTGTTCATGCGCTGTAAGATGCAGAACTCCAAGTAACGGATAGCCTCATTCACCTGATGGGAAACAACGGGTACAAGGCAATTAAGACGGAAATTTTGTATTGATAAAAGGCAGAACTAACAACTATTTGGGTGAATAACTGGTTGGCAATCAGGTGCCGTTTTCTAGATATCCATCATACATCAATAAATCTATCCAGAGGACCACATGCAGTGGAGGTTGGGTGTTCCCACCAAGCTAGAGTATCAAACGTCCTAAAAAAAAATTCTTCCTCAGATGTTCCATCTCTCAGGCGACAGGAGTCCCAGGTCACAAATTTATGTCAATTTAACAACAATAAAACATCATTGAGAAGTGAACATGAGCAACAGATATGAAAATTTAATTATAAGAACTTTTCAAAGTCAATGGTTATGAATCAGTGCTGTAATTACAAATGATGTCTTGAACTAAATGCAGCTCCGTGAGTGGAATAAAACCGAAAAGAGCTTTCTGATTTTGGAAATCGATGTCACCTCTAACGTCGATTTTGTTCTGTCCCATTCTGACTGCCAAAGGAAACAATTTTAGGCTGTGTCCGAAACGGGCTTCCAGAGCTATGTTGTCAGCGCCTCGTCACTTATTTCCAATGGAGCGAAGACCTAGACTGAGCTCCAGACAACAGGATTTGGATGCTCAAACTCAAACTCAAACCACAGCCTTCAAACTTTTTTGCATGCATCAATGCTTCTAGGTGTTGATTAAGTTACAGCACAAATTTCCCAATGTTAGGGGTAGCATTGCTGACGTGACTGTTCCTTTTTGCCACCTTGTGGGTCATACCTGACTGGACTGGGCCAGATGGTCATACTGTACCAGGGCCGGGATCAACCTCTTAGGGTCCAGCATCTTGCCCAACTCAATCCAGGCACTGACCAGTTCGTTGGGAATATGCTGCATCAGGACGGGGGAGAACTTGTAGTAGAGGTCCGCATCCTTGGGTTTGCGCAGGACCTCCAGGGCCGAATGGTAGTCGTCGTGCTGGATGTGGTGGCTGATAACTCGCTCGTAGTCTGAGTGCAAATTAGAATAAGAAGTGGGGGGGGGGGAAGTATAAATTGTAACATTTGTGGAACTCACAATTTAGATTTTTGAAATTTTGTTGGGTGGCTAGATCCACTGTTATAAAATGTTAGGTAACTCGTTGCACTTTACAAAAAGAAATGGAAAGATCCAATTTCTGGCTTGATATACTTTTTAATAAGAAAAATCACATTATACGTGATGCAGAGATGCCAACTTTCAAAATGTAAAAGAGTAATCCTATTGCACCTCCAGTTCCAGTCTCCCGACTGACCCTAATTTTTCGGTGCGACCCTAAAATTTCATCGGAAAATTAAAACAACAAATTAAAAAAAAATCCTGTTTTCCTTTCAAAATAAACACTTGTAAGCAACTTCTTTTCACCTCAAAACACTTGTATTTACCTGACTAGCATTATGCAAGTGTAAACTGCAATTAATTGTTGATAATATTTCCACATTAACCATTTGCCACCTGGGATTCCTGTTTCGGACACGTATTCTATATATGCGCGTGACTGGGGTCTCCAAAATTGGACAAAGGGAACTGGGCTTTGTAACAAAAGACCGTACTCATAACAAAAGATCAGACTTTTTTCACTCTTAATAGTGGAGATAATCCAGCCTTGTTTTGAAACAGTATACCACAGTTTGGAGCATTCAGCGCGAGCGGATTACCACCGGGGACAAAAGCACTCCACCACTGCAGCGATGAGCCACACAGCACCGCTGCACGCTAATCTGGCCCCTATTGAAAAGAGGTCAGCAGCACACTGAGCCAGTTTTGTTAACAAAAGAAAATTACGTAACACCGCATAATCTGGGCTCTTTTTACAAGGCGGCAGGCCTCTGGCTGAAATACTCCAGTGTCAATAGATGTTGTCTGTCATATTAGAGGAGAAACCAGACAGTCCTTTGTGTGGGTGTAAGTGTCCAGTAAATGAAGATGTGAATTTTTAAAGAATTTTGAAAACGGAAAAAAATGAAAATTATCCCATCCCAACATAATCAACATTCATGAATACCCCCGGCGCAATGTGGTTAATTCTGGTAAGTTTTTATTTTAATCACTTTTGTCCCATTCAATCAGCACAAAAAAACTGTAAAAAATTCCTGGCCTTACCTACTGACCGAATTTAATCGGAAGCAGAGCTATTCTATCTTGGCCTAACTAATGTGCTTCTCAGTGTTGTAAGATCTAGCATGGGCAATATTTATCATATCACAGTTGCATGCGTTGCAAACACGTAAGCTTCTCCACGACAAGACTTTGCAATAAAGGCCCATTTTGTGGTGTATTCGTCCCTGAACTTCTGCTCACTTGTTGCCACTGTGCAGAACAAGTATCCAAGAATCAAATCCTCGACAGTCCTCCGCTCTGGTCAACTTTAGCACGATCACGATGTTTGACACACGTGTGTAGGATATTGGTACATGTATGCATGGACGTACACAATCACGTTGCATATGAAGTGCAATCATGCCTATTCGCCGCCTGTTCATCATAGTGTTAACTGGAGTGAACGGATGATTCAGCCACGCTGGTTTCTACTGCTACTCACACAGGTTGTATGCACAAACTGCGGGATGCCAGTGATACATTTCTGACGCGCATATTACGAGGCTGGCTCCGTGCTAGCTCACGTAGAGTTTATGCACAAATGTATGGTTTTGTACCTTGGAATTGGAAATCGTAAAAATCTTAGTCTGGATCGTACAGTCGTAAACGGACTAAACAAATCCTGAAAATTACGCCTAAATCGTACAAGTTGGCATCTCTGCATAATGGGACCTGTTTGCCCACTCGCTGAAACAGAAAACCCTCAACTGGCGACTTAACTTTCTGTCAATGCTGCACGCTGTAAATGACATACGAAATAGAATACAGCTATACAATTTCAGAGAGGAATAAAATTTACTCACACATCTGTGGCTAAACATGCCTGTAGAGATAAACACTTACTTTGGAATTCATAGCCATGGATTAGTACGGTGATAAAATTGGCTCTCAAGAATTTTGGGCCGATGCAGAAATTATGATCATGTTCCAGGAGAAGTTTCAGCAAGCAGATAAAGTGGTGGGGCTAACCTTTCATGAGCATAGCGAAGAACACCATGTCCTCCACATCTCCATGACTTGCGATCAAGTCGTACACCGTGTCCACGTTACCACTCAGACACTCCTGGAAGTCAAACAGACGTACAGGAAACATCTGATGACAAAATAGGAGCTACCAAAACTCATGCTGTACTTTAGACTTCAGTTAGACTTCAACATGCTTTTCACCTCATGTGTAAACATCAGAAAAAATTTAAAACGCCAGCAATTACCAACATCCCCGGTCAAACAATCCTGTATCATTTTCATGCATAAAAGTGATCTGTTTCAAAAATTTACATACCGTAATATACTCTGAAAGTATAGCAGACAATATTGCCAGTTAAGGCCGGTTCATGCTTAGCTTTCCCTTTTAAGTATACGCTGTGACCAAGGACTCTGACAGTAATTAAACCTGCAAAAATTTCTTTACCAATGTGGTAAGCTCAGCATATTGATAGCATGTGGTGATTTCTTGCTTGGCAGAACTACTGGGATCAATTCTACGGTGCTGCTTGATGGTTAACAAAGTAGTAGTAGGGCAGAAAGATTCTGCTAACTAATCTTTTTTCACAGCTTAGAGTTAGAAGCTCACAGAGATATCTATTGCCGCACTTTTTTCAACAAACTCTAGCTGTGATGCATACACTGATTACTTTGCTCAAAACTACCTCCGTCTGTGAAAGAGACAGAGGCTCCTTACACAGAATACTGGCATGCTTGGCATAGCTGTGGAATCGAGCCCGGATCTTACTCACCATGACCTTGGATTGGGCCAAGAACTTCTGGAACTCGGTGTGGACGGAGTCGTGGGTGTTTCTGGCTTCTTCCCTGGCTCGGAACTCACCTAGCTGGTTCAGGTACAGTTCAATCAACCACATCACCAGCATTGTCATCTGAGTCTTCTCCTGGTTCAGGAAATGTGAAACCCACTTTTATTTTAAACAATCATCTGCAATTCTCATCAGACTACATTGCAGGGAAAAACAAATGACATGCTAATTGGTGGATAATGTAAAACCAGACCCATGTAATGAAACCTTCCATGCTCCTAAATCCCTTGAAACCCATTCAAAGGATTTGATAGGTTTTGACAGATTATAAATGGTAGAGAAAAGAGAATCCTACAGATTCTGTAGGATTAAGGCAGGTTCCTAGTGACATGTAATTAGTGTATAAGGGTTATTTCAATGATACAAAATAGCAACACTAAAGCATTGACCTATTGGACAACACGTGAAAGCAAGACCTTTTTGAGCAGTAATTCCTTCATTTTTTTAAAGACACAAAGTCACAACTGTCCAAAATACTTGGCTACAAGCTGATAATGGGACACACATCAATGGAAAATAAATTCACTTGTCAGATGGTGGCTTCCACAGGCTCATATATCACATAAAGCGGTAGCCAAGTTATTCTCATGTGGCCTATAATAACATATTGGTCAGTCTTGGATAAATGGTGCAAAGTGGGACAAACGAGTCAACATTTGAAAACTGTTTCTTAAGCCCCGTAGTGAGCTGATTTACATTTTACAAGACATAAAGTTTACAAAAACTGAAGAGAAGTGTGTGTCACTGCTCATATTTGCGAGTAGCAAAGGTGAAACGTTCGAAGCACATAGTTGGGGCAGGATTTCAATGTTCACACTGTAAACAAAGGACACAAACTGGACATGTGATAATGCACAACTGGGAATGGAGTACAAAACCTGGCCTCTTTCCTGGTCGATTCTCCCTTCTCATCAGGTGATTTTGCTGACTATGAGGATGTCTTACGATATAAGACTTGTGGATATACCACAGGGTTTTGGCTTACTGCAAATGGCCGAATTTATGCCGTGAGTTCACATGTAACAAACTAGGACCCAAAACTAACGTAGCTGTACTCGACACTGCTGATGGTTTGACAGGAAACTGATAAGAACATCACACTAAGTCAATCAAGCATCAGAAGTTGGTTTGTTAGCCATCAGATGTTTCACATATTTTGGGCCATCGTTTTCAAATAAAGGGGTTTATAACCACATGCTTTTAGTCCCAAAAGAAAAACTAGTAAACAAAAACTTAATGTGTAGCTTTTTTATGAGTAGTTACTCTGTTTAATAAACTCGGTTTACAAAACAACCCCTTTAAAGTGTACTAGTGTGGCCGTCTCCCACTGGACCCCTTAAAAAATGAAAGACCGATGCGCCAACCCACCTGTGGCTTGAGGCTGCCGAGTTTCTTACTGAGGAATGTGCGCAGGGCAGTAGTCTGCTGGGCACCGATGAACTTCAGTGCCACCTCCTCAAAGGACCTCTCTGTCATGGCAAAGTAGAGGGCGCTCTTATCGTACCTGCAGAAGGAAGACGGGGCTTGTGACAGTCTCGCTTTCATTGTTCATATTCTTAATGATGCAAGTTTGAAAAGATGCGGAACCGATGGGAGAGACAAACTCACTTTTTGCTTTCAAAGAAGTATTCTGCTTGTCTGGTCAGCACCTCGTCCAAATTGGCCGGATTGTCCTGACAATAGTCCTTGGCCCGGTCAAAATCACCCTGGTCAAGATACATACGCCATACATCCCTACAAAACAAAGGAAGGTCAACTCACGGATAAATGTCCAAAACTATTGTTTTGCATACAATTTAAACATAAAGAAAACTCCATGCTGAATTAAAAATTGTAGGTCATGAACACACACATCGACAGCGAATAACTTGGACAAGGTTGTCAATTCCAAGAAAACACGGATCTCGGTCCTGATCTTGCTTGGACTGACCTTGATTCTTTTACCACTTTATATTTGAAGACACTCTGGTCGGTAAAGGTCCAAATGGTTCCTTTTGTCTTGTCTCGACAAATACCGAGGATTTTACCATATCTCTGCACAAAAATACAAATGATGAAAATAAATGTCTTGGAGGTCTGAAGTGATGCAGCGCGACATCTTTGTGTCTGCGTGGGTTGCACAAAATGAGTCAAGAAATAAAAAGCAGGATTTTCACACAAGGGTGCTTTCCACTCATGCGAATGACACACATGTTGCACCACACACAGTGGGCAAGATTTGGCAATTGTTGTGAAATGTTTACAGCAATTTAGCCAATGTTTTTTTAGCTGCTAAATCTTAATCAAAGTTCTATGTTTTGTTTTCATTGAAAGTACAAACTTAATGGCATTAAGACGGACAATGATTTATCATCTATTGAAATTATCTTCTCTCATGAAAAACTAAAATATGATGCCTTAGGGCCTAACATACACGTAACCTCAAACACTCGAGTGTACACGAGGCCTGTTCTATGCATGAGTCACAACGATATACTTACAACATGGTAGACATCTTCATCTATAAGCTGCTCATTCAAAACACACATCACTTTTAACCTGTAAACAAGAAATGAAAAGTCAATTTCTAACGAACACAAAAACTTACACGGTAAAATAACACTTTTCATCCAATCAAAGTGCAATACATTTTGTATTTTCCATGATGTTTATGATTTGCAATTTTTTTCTAAGACTTTTCCAGGCCTGAGTTACTGATTTCCAAATGTCGCTACCTGTTCAAGGTTTTCCATAACTGACGGAAATACAAAGAGGGCAGCCATTTCATGTTTAACCTTCGTTCCTAAACAGACTGTTCCCTTCTGTGCAAACTAGGGAGTGTTTTGTGGGGTGGTTTCAATAGAGTTAAGGGGCTTGATTTTGAAAAGAATGAATTTATTGAAAAGGGTAACCTTTAATATGAAGTGTCAACTGGTTCCTATGACCTGGCCACCTGGTGTTCTACAATATTGTCCAATGAAGTTCATATTGTACAAATACATCCACTATTTTCGTTGTTCTATTGAAAAACATCAACCAACCTGTCTGGAAAGAGAAGCAAGATGTGGAATTCCGTCAGTGCCATGGCGATGGGTCTTGTCGCTGAGCTGTCCCCCTTGGCTCCGTTGGGATATGGTAAGAGACGACTGTCTTTGGTCAGATTGTCTGAGGACTGACTGTTGAAGTCGAAGACGCCAAAGTATATGCCTGGACCTGGGTGTGTACGACATGAAAATGACGGGCAAGCTGATGACATGTTGGCTTGAAATCTTCGGGCCCCTTTTAGTAATGCAGTGCAACCTTGATGGTTGAAATATTAATGTTGCTGTTGACAAACACTTAACATTACAGTGTTCATGTTCCCACAGTCCAGTACTCTTCTCAAATGCAATTCAGTTTGTGTACATTAAGATGAAAATTGGTAAAGCACACTCGGTGCCAACAGAGACTCCCCTGGCAATCTGAACTAAACCATGTCATAACGGTGACACCACCCTTGTTTAAAGGTCAGCTACAGGTGTTAAATGCCTCTTCAACAATTAAGGTGGTGTGCAATTGTACTCGTCCCTCCAATTTAAGAACCTGTCTGGCATTTGTGCGATTGACTAAGGTGTCACCATGGTGATCATATCCTGAAAATGGGTGGTAGCAAGTGCAAACCGGTTCACAAGTGCACGTTGCCCTTCTTTGGGCTGCCATGAGTCAGTGAGAACGCGCCACCTGCAGTTCCTTCACACCTTCAATTAGCCACATCCAAATAGTTGCGGCTGTCTAGACACAGCACACACTGGCTAGTGACTCTGGCTTCTTTCCATATATGAGTGTGTTACTCCCAGCTGCACTAAGTTGGAGCAGTTACGGCTGTTGTGTTTTTCTATCCCTTCTGCTTTCTACTGGTGGTTCAAAAACATTAACGACACGTTTTCTCCGGGATGAGAAAAAACATGCCCCCCCGCTTGTGTATTTGTTTGTCACCTCCATGCGCTCCCCTTTTGTAAGTATCGGACACCCCTTTACGTAAATACTGGATCCACCACTGCACATATGCACGTTATTTCCATGTCAGTGGGTTAACAGCATGGAATCAGACTTCAGGATATGAAACAGTGGCCTGATACCTACCGGTCATCCAGGCAAAATTGGATGGCATTGTCTTTTTGTTGCCGTAGCTGAACTGAAGTTCGCTGTATCCAAAGTTACCAGGCAATTCTAGAAAACTGGCTGCAAGGACAAAAACAAAACAAACAGGACCACTGCTCTTATCAAATATCAAGTTTGCTTGGACAAGGAAGTGTCGTCATTAATACTTACAATCCTAACAGCACACGAACTTACCTGGACTAGCGTCGTACTTGTGAAAGACATTTAGAAAGACAGGTGCCTCTGCAGAACTCGGGATGATACCGATAAATTGGTAAAGCCGGCTGGAAACACAAATCAAAGACAATTTAAATAAATGAAACTTCTGTACTGGACAAATTTCGGATGGGTCAGCTCACATTCAATCTGGAAAAATATGGCTGAAAGACAAGGGCGTACATCCCAGGAGGTATGGGGGTATATATCCCCCCTACTTGTTGAGGTGGAGGGGGCAGGCTACTAAATCCCCCCCCCCCATTTTTTATGATGACTAAAAAATATTAAGGTAGATCGTGAAGAATTTTTCGACTTCCAACAACAAAAATATTTGCAATATCACTCAAAAAGGGAAAATTAAAACCATAGATATGCCATTCATATGTATGATTACGCATGAATACAATACATATTACAGATGTATATATCATTGAACATGCTTCAACAAAGTCCAACAGTGACTACCAGACACGTTCCACAGCAAACGAATTACAAATACTGACTTCTGTCTCACCCTGGAGTTGTGGCCATGATGAAGAATCGCCTCTCGTTCTGCTGAGCTGGTTGCATGAGTTCCACCTCAAGGCCAGTCACTGGGACAGGGATCTCCTTGCCCAGATTGAAAACCTGCCAGATGAGAAAACAAGCATTACATTCAATTCAATAGGTGGAGTACCTGTGATTTGTAAACTCTGACTTTTGGCTGCAAATATCCCCAAAAATCTCCTTTTCCACAAAACCATGCAAGGCAGTGATGAACTTGAGTCCACTTCATTTAAGTCTGAGCTGAGTTGAGTTCACAAAGCCTTGCAATTGGGTCCAGCTTAAGTCTAAGTCCAAATTGTCGAGTCCGAGCCAAGTCTGTGTCCAGTTAGGAAATGATTGTGCTTGATACGTCCATGCCGGAAATGTATACAACCATCTGAGGTTTTTGGAACAAATGTTTGACTGACCTGTTTCCAGTACTGGTCAAGACTTTGCTGGAAAAACCGACTGTCATCACCAGATTGAATTTCCGTCTCGTATATCAAACCTGGAAAAAAAACCCGAATAATTAATTCCAACTGTGTGTATTAAAGGCAACTATGCGTCATAACATGACCATACCGTTAACAAGTTCATTTGATCAAAGAGAACAGTAAATGCTATAACTGAAAAGTGCAAATCCTGAGCATCTCCTACAAGTTAGGGTTAGTAGGTTGAGGGTCACTGACCTCGGCTGGTTCCAACAAGTATCTCTGCAGTGGTATTGTCATTGGTGTTCAGCTTGTTCCAGCCAATGGAATCAATTACGTGCGTCTGAAAAATGGGCAGAAAATAAACCTTTTACCACTTTACGGTGGATGACATCTAAAATGACACAGGATCTCTGTACACAGAAGATGTTTAAACATGGTCTGACGAATGCTGTGCGTAGTGCCATTTGATGCCTGTACTTGTCTTCATGATGGAGTGATTCCCATTGATTTTATACACACACAGAGGCTTGAAGTAGTCCATGGAGGTTGATAATTGTGTATGTCACCCTCCAGCAGTCATGGACCATGGCCGGCTGGAATGGCAAATACTACTCCACGTAGTTTTGAAGACAAGAGACAGTGCAGTGAGAAACGTAGCACAAATCTTGAACAAATGACCACCAGGGGTCGGCATTCCTAAGTCCAACTTTGTAATGGACCATGGCTGTGGTATCTTGTCATTTCATAAAGTCATATTTTTTGCTGAAAATGACAGGATCTGGAACAAATGCAATGTACAATAATAACGTCAGCAAATGGTTAAGACCTGCCCAATGGTGAGAAACTACGACCCAAATATTACACACGGAGGAAATCTCCTAAAATAGATTTTTGTTGAATGTCACTTCATTTTATATTCATAGAACCTTCATGGAACTTTTATGTTAAATCCTTAATCAAATAGCAATAGAAATGAACATTATTCTGTACAGTCATCTATATCCTCTCTTAAAAATGTTACACTCTCATCTGGCCATGTATATCAGCTATTGTCATCAACCATGGAAACAGTTGATCTGGTTTGACTGAGATGAATTTGGTGTTGTACACTGTCCATGAATGAAACATCGAGAATATGGTGTTGTCCTTTTTCCACAATGACAATGTGATAAATCTGACAGACAGGTCTGTTCGTCTTCAAGAGATAACTATTCATGGTTATAAATCTGCACCCTCCGGATGCTGGCCTCACCTTGAGTTTGTGCAGTGCTTTGGCTTTGCGGCCTGTTCTGGAGAGATAGAAGACGTCTTGCTGCTCTGTGCTGATGATGAGGTGACGGCCAGTCGGATCCAGAAACAACTTGTGGATTCGATCCTCTCCCAACCTGACCTCTGGGGATTGAACACAAAGTGGGTTGAATTTGGGGGGTAAATACAAATACTCAAGAGAAAAAGCAGTCTTGTGACAAAAAGGCCAGTTAAAAGTCAGTAGCAGGATTGAAAATATTGACATTAGCTCTTCTGTTGCCTTCTCATGCCGGTAAGACTGGAAAAACCCTATGAGAGCCTGCACAATTAATTATCAAAAGGGGGAGTGTCCTTTACAAAAAAAACGATGAATGGATTGAAAAGGAGAGAACAATGAATATGTCTGTTGCCCACGTGACAAAGGTCTGTAAGATCAAACCACACCTAGATTTAATTAAAATGCCAGGAGGATAAGACTGCTGAGTAACATGACTTGCCAAGCAATAGTCTGTCGAGAACCAGTCGAGGCAAGCACATCTGCGTGCATGCGAGGTGGTATCCCACATTTTTGCTGAGTGGACCTGTTCTGCACTAACAACATTTCTAATTCTCATGGGAATGGCGGACAGCAGGGTTGCATCTTACCATCCGGCTGTTCTGGGTGCTCCAGATCAATACGCAGGATCATGTTGTCTGACATGGCCATCATCAGAATGTTATTGTTGACGACAAGGTGGGTGATGGGTCGTGGAGGCCTGAAACAATATTCACAAGAACAACAAATGTTTGCTGCCACATACGCTGTGATCAGTTGTGGGCGATGACAAGAAAGAGAAAAAGAATCTACCAAAAAAAAAATATAAAAACTAACCATACAACAAAAGAAGCCATGCCAAGTGGCCGACAACATAAATGATCCAATATTAACATACACCTGATAAGATCACACTTTTTAAATGAACAAACTTCTCTATTAACCCGAACCTTCCCCAACCACACAGAATTAAACAGTAGTAAATTGTTTAATTCTGTGGGGATAGGTCTGGTAGGCCCATACCAGCTGGCTTTTGCATTGGGTTTGGGATACTTCAGAAAAACAAAGTCCAACAGCCCCTGTGCACAAAGTCCCATATGGGTGTTTATCTTTGTGTGAATGGGGAAGGTTAGGGCCAGCAACCCTTGGGGGGGTTAGGGTTAAAAGTTATATGGGCAGGAAATAAAACAACTAAAGTAAAAGACGAAATTAAAAAATGTTTCAGTGATTAATTTTTAATGTAAACATACGTAAAGTTGATTTTCATTTTGCTGAAAATCCGGACGTCCTCCTCCATATTTGCTGTTACATATCCTGATGTGATCTGTATACACAGAAGCAAACAACCACTATTTTACAAGTTACAATGCACAGTGGCATTTTTTCCACACCTTGGCTTGGGAGGCATGATGTTATATTCAACCAAGGGAAGTCGTGAGGAAGGGCATTAAATCTACCCCACAATATTTCACAATAATCTCAATCAAAGGGAACAAAATAACCCTATCTCCTCAGGCGGGTCGTTGAAAATGACAATCCCCTCTGTCGAAAAATCTGCCAAAATCCAGCGCTGTAAACGAAACCAAAGGCACGGGTTAAGTGTCCAAATCATTGAGAGACATTCGGCCCAACCTAAAAGTACTGTAGAAACGGTTAGTACCTCCTTCTTGACTCGCACTAAACTTAACTAAGAAAAAACCCAAGACACTTCCCACACACCGTCAGTGCTAGGCTCCACGTGGAGCCTGCAATGCCAAGAATCTGGATGGTACACGTATGCAAACTTACAGGTGCAGGCACCGGCTCTCTGTGCCCCTGTGAAATGCTGGAGGCAGCCCTGGCTGTGGCCTGCTCATACTGATCAAAGAGCGAAGCCATCCTTGAACCTCTGTGGAAGAATAGCCTATCCAATCTTCAGTTTCTGAAAGGAGAGTGAATAAAATGGCAAATCACGTTTTGTCGCCCTTTAAAATGACTAAATTCGTGCAGCTGTTCATGCCACTGAGGCGTCCGTAGCTAATCTTATGGTTCTTACTTCCCACTGACCTTTATTTTTTGGCTCTAACTAAACCCCAACCACATTCCTCCCATTTTTTATGCCAGTGATGAGGCCTGGAATTTTTTACCACAAAAAAATAGGACAAATGATACTCTTAAGAATTTGTGAGGACAAGCGGGGTAATTACCCTGAACTCGTGAGTATGGGTCATAGCTGGGGTGGTACACAACGTGGTGTACTTATTGAAAAGAGTGGGCCATAGCAGTAACGCCTTCCCCTTCCCTGACTGACCGACCCTCCCCCCGGGGCATATTTTAGTAAAAAAGTAATTTAGCCATGATAGATGAATTACATGAGTAAAGAATTCCATTTTCTCGGTCAAATCTTCCCAAAAGCATGGAAAGCCATCTTAACAGGTCCATATCTCCCTTAAAATTCATAACAACACAATGAAAGTACATATTTTACTTAGGCCTGAGCTATAGGCCTAAGTCATATGTATGGGGTGGTGCAGACATCCGGGAGTTTCGGGGAATGGCGGGTAGCAACCACACAGCACTAATGAAAACAACTGCGACAACGTTCAAAGAAATGATTAAGTAATCCGATCCTCTGACTGGCTGGTGCAGGCATACGTCGCCATGGTTGCTGTTTTGAGTGGTTACTACCGTATACCCGCCATTTTGCAAGAGTCCCGGATGTCCACGCCATCCCATAGGCCTAATCCCTAGGCCCGTTAACATCTACTAACAACACATGGTTAAGCTTTATATAAAACAGTATGAAAGCCATACCCCAGATGCTAGACCTAGATCAAAGCTACCCCCAGAACTTCGGGGTCCGACATCCGCCCCGCTCCCATGAACAGAACAGTGGGTCCGACGTCCCCCCTGAAGGTTCGTGGGAGTTGGGCGGAAGTCAGACCCCACAGTTCTGGGGGTAAATTAAGGCACAAGGGGATGCCTTCTATGAGTAAAACGACTGCGGCTACACCATGGATCAATCTCTTTCTTGAGTAGCCTTTGTGTGGTTCTGAAAGAAAACCGGGGAATAACTCGACATTTCGAACATTGTCCATCTTCAGAATGCCGCCTTCTACTTTCTAGAATTATCCCAGGCTAACCCTACCTCCTGTGAGCTGACAAAGCACCCAGCGTAACAATCCCGCGCCCACCCTGCTTGCGTTGAACCATGGAGATAGAAATTTATATATATATATATTTCTACCTCCATGGTTAAACCATGGTTCAACCAGGTTACGCCCACTCTGGCAATTGACCGGAAAATGGGCAAACATTTGATAGGCCTCATGCCCAACGGCCGGGCCGGTACTACTACATATTACTAGTACGGGCAATGATGGGAAGGCCTAACCGATTTACAATTTGGCAAGATAACACTTACACCTTTGTGCACATAAATTGAACAGATTAACGAAAAGAAACGCCTCTACTATCTTGCAAGTGGCAGTCAAAAGTGTCACAAACACGATTCATCACGGCGAGTTCAGGCTAGACTCGAAGAACTGCCGTCGTCCTTCCTACATATATACACTTGATCCTTGCGACGCGGCTGTACCATATAGAGGGCGCCGTAGCTAGCTCTGATCAAAGATTGTATAGCGCCGCCCAGAAACGTAGAGTGTGCATGTACATTTTTTGTACTTCGCTCGCATTATACTGTGGCGCAATATCACACCAAAATGGCGCCCATGGCGATAACGCGATTCAGTGGAGAGTTGCCCATCTTGCGCCGCTGCGCAGCGCTATACAATCAATGGGTGCGTTCGATTAGCTTACACGTGTAAGTCAAACTTACTGAGAGCGTTCGTTTAGCCATCACGTGATGTTCGTGCCTGCCCTAGGTGTCAGCCACCACTACCCCAGCAGCGCTGGCGAGCGGGTCTCTGGAGGCTGCCCGAGTGTAATGACGTCACGGATGGACTGTTCGAGCATGGACGTACATGATGGAATGAGGCGGGGACTTGACCTTTTTCCCAGAATGCCTTGGAAAACACACTGCAGCGTTCGATAAGCCTCATTTTGAGGCTTCCCTTGAGTGCAGTGTAACACTAGTGTGTTTAGGGAAGCTAATCGAACGCACCCATTGGCTCTGATGCCCGTCCGTCGCGCGCGGTAAGAAACAAAGGCCGTGTCCGAAACGGGCTGCCAGAGCTACGGCTAGGTCTATTGTCTGCGCATTTCCATTGGAGCGAGACCTAGACCTAGCTCTAGACAAGAGATTCAGATGCAGCCAAAGACACGGGTACGAATGGCTTGCCAGAACTGTTTGGGCTAGGCTAGGCGTTAGCCTTTTTTTTGCACGGCTGCCATGCGCAAGTCGCTTCAATAACTTCAGACAAGCTCCTCCTCCGCTCAGGGGCGGATCCAGGAGTTTCCCAAAGGGGGCGCCGTGAACGACAGCGGCAATGGTAAAAATGCCCCGCACGAGCACATTTTTTATTCTTTAGGCACGCTCTGTGGTGTAACTTGAGGCAGTATGTCTCGTTTTTCTTCTCCTTCCCTATTGTTCTTCTTTTTTATGGGGGGGGGGGTAAAAAAAGGGGCGTGCGCCTCCCAGCCCCCTAGATCTCCCCCTGCCGCCTTCATTGGCTCACTCATCATGAACATCCATGGTGTGAAATTTAAGAAAACGCACAGATAGTTTTAATGTTTCATGTGTCATAGAATTATTGTTCGTCCCAAATGCACTGCATTGGAGAAATCATTTCATCCATTAAATGGAAATTCAAGTTCCATTGCTCGATAGGCTGTGAGATGGTTCCGCCCCTTTTAGGGTGAAGGACAAAACAAAGAAATTAAATGACTCCAGCAAAGGCGACAAATACGGTACCCCCCTCCGGCGAAAAAAATCGAATCCCCCAGCAAAAAATCGTGAATCCACCCCGTGCAAGGTTTAAGTCAGGCAGTGCAGCGATTTGTTTAGGATTTTAAACAGGACTTGTTACCCTCAGAATAAATGAAAACAACACAAAGACAATTTTTTTTCATGCTTGCATCTTTCTATTTTAATAGCCTACTCAGTATACATATATTTCAGGATTTAAATGTAAGAGTGCATTGGAACAATAGAGTTCTGAATTTTTTTTCTTGAATGATGATACCAAGGGCAAACGAAGAACCAAATTATCTGGAGCCAAAATTGTTTTCAAAGAGGCTGGACTTGGGGAATTTCTTCCTATTGAGGACTTTGCTAGGGGTGAGGCTAAAATTGGGGGCTTTTACACCATTTAGAAGGAAACAGACATGGCGCTTATATAAGTTGCCTGTCACTCATTGTATTTCAAAGACAAGAGGGAAACGTTCGCACGATGAACAAACGCCATGCCTGTTTATGGGCCTCAAGCTAGACCCAGGTAGGGTGCACGAATGACCAGGAAATGCACGCGTCACGGTCGCATCGCTACCAACAAATTGAACACTCCCGACCAACGCGGCTCTTTTTAACAATGAGGGGTTGCTTCTGCTCGCGGCAGATTGCAATCCGGATGAAAGCAGTAATTTAAAGAAGAACACTGAAGTTAAGAATTTTTAAACGCTGGAGTAGTGTAACAGGAGACAAGTCGCGACTGATTTCCCTCAAAGGACGTCTCCATTTGTCTTCGAGAAAAGCATGCAATAAGAGATTTTATATAATGCATAATCACAAGACGTTGTCGCCGTGTAGTTGGTCGACCCTCTGGTCCAGTTTAGGTGCGTAATATGCATTTTCTAACCCTCCTTAACTTCGAGAAAATAAAAATCGATGCTCTTTGCCAAAGTGTATGCGCCCACGACTTTTTTCGTCAATTAATGTACTGGATAAATTTGACAAGAGTGTAAAGTGCCAAGCAGCACTTATGGGTTGGTGAAATTCTTGAGCGAAATTCATGCTCCCGAAGTACTGACGCCCTCAGTCTGTTTTGATCAGCCTGCAGCGGTCAGTGTAGGCGGGGCTCTGGGACAGCTTGGGCCGTTGGAGTGGGCGTGGCATGCATGCTGTATGTATTACAATAGCTACATTATGCCCTCATTATGCCCTTGCCCCTGGTAGCTTAATATTTAGATATTATTTCCCCACACTGCGCTAGCACAGATTGTTCTTAATATGAGCGGCCGGTCGAAAGACTATGGTGATGTAGGATTCTCAAGACGTGCTGCCCGGTTTTGCTTGCCTGTGTACAACATGAACACCGATGAGCAGTTCGTACAAAGTTTGATTCCATAACTTTGAATCAGAGAGAATGTGCATGTACCAAGAAACGAGCCATTAGACCGTAGGCCTATGGGCATAACACCCGTCATTAAAAAAAAAAAAAAAAAAAAAACCACACCACCGTCACACCGACACCATGAACTGAAGCTGAGCTTGCAAGCGGGTGTCAGTTCGTGAAACCGTAGTACCAACAATTACTGAGCACCGCGGTATCAACAACTTCGGTTTCACGAACTAAGCAAACTAATAAATTATTGTTAACGCTCGGCACGGGAATTGCACAGCGTTGAACACATTCGACTCGGCAGATTGATTTCGGCACGGCCAGCCCTTTAGCTCGACAGAGTATGCTGCACTGTCGTCTTTCTAAATGGCAGCGGCACGGCACCGCTGTATTTAAGTTCGGCGTTTAGTGCAATGCAGCGCCATTGACATGAGTACCGAAGTGAATACGTCACGCGCACAATTAGTGTGTAAAAGGCTTTAGTGCGAGAACCAGCGCGTGAACCAACACGCGCGCGTACTCCATTAGTATGCACTGCACTTTCTGGTTCGCAGTGACGTCACACTTCGGTACTCTAATCATTTGCAGTGTGGGCCTCTAGCTGGGCCAATAGAGAGTGCTATTTTCTAAGCAACAGAGGCTCGTTTGGTCGGACTTGATATTAACTGAAAATCTTTTTAAATGGTAGAATAGTGCGCATCCAAGAGTTTGCAACACGTTGACCAACCACAGTGCGTAAAATCTGTCGACCATTTCCAAACGCGCATTAGGTCGACAGATTTCGCGCATTGTGATGGGGGTCAACGCGTTGCAAACTCTTGGAGGCGCACTATTGTGAATCGCTCGTATTGCGATCGGTATCAGTTCGTGAAAACGAAAATGCACGGATTGCACGCTTGAAGCGCCCCATACTAGGTGCCAGTTCGCGAAAATGAAAATAACTCGGTTCTCTAAAATGCGCGCAAATGAGCGCACCGTCACGCACGAATGAGTGTCAATTCGTGATGTCGGTGACGCACGGTTACAGATTGTATGTAAACCAAAAGATGGCCAAGTTTTATAAAGTTAACAATTTGACAACTTATCGTCAAAATCCTGTAATGAAATGGACTTTAGCAATGGGGAATAGATTCAAATGAGTTGCATTCAATGACAACTGTCATTTTCTGGGGATCAGGGATAAGGAATCCTTCATTTTTTTGAAAGCGGGCACTCAGTTTTAGTTAATTCATGAATATGCATGGTATGGTAACAAAATATGCAAGACTCGTCTGCACAGTGTCTTTCTGGCAGGGGGCAGAGACAGGACTGAAAGTGTCCATAAAAAAGGAGAAATGTGTTGGAACTACGAGTCTAACCGCGCTCAAACTTAAACGCATTTCTTGACAGAAAAGAATAAAATAAAATCAAAAGTGTAAAATGCCATGTATTCTTTCCTTTTCAGATTCAACGCTCTAGCTTAAATGTTAAACAGCTGTTGGTACGCAGTGTATTTGTAGTAGGATAGAGTGGCCTTTGGGGAGTTTATTGGTTGAGCTAATAAGTAGTAATAATGGTCTTGATTATGAGAATAAATATGGTGCTTGAAGGGTTCGTTCATTAAAAACCAGCTAGCTGAGGGGAACGGATGCCGATAATGTCCCTCGCCTGCAGCTAGCTCAGGCTCTTAGTTGCTTCCATTCCTCTAAGCAAATACTATTCATAAATACCTTTTGAGCCAGATAGTCAAAGTTTAAATATTACAAAGTCCCGTCATTTTCTTCACACTTTTACTTCTTATTAACCCCTCTTGCCATGTAATGATAATGTGCTCGTCGGCGCCAGGAACCCTTGAATAAGAAATATAACTGGCAAAAATGTTGGAATTGGGTAATTATTTTTTCGTTCTTTGCCTCTTACATATTTCTTCTACGAAAAAATGATTTCCTAGCGTATTTTTTTATGAATACTGAAATGTATACAACACAGAAAAAAGTTATGCCAGAGACTGACCTCTCGCTTCCGAAAATCTTAAACACAAGCTCGTTTTTGTGATTCGGAGTACTTGTATATAAGCAGAAGAAAATGTTTTTAAAAATGTGGTTATTTTTGAGTAAAAACTAAAACTGAAAGAGGAGACCCAGAAATACAGGAATAATCAGCATATAAAACAAAAGTCACAAAGTCTAATCCACGTATAATCTTTGTTGACAACTGCACGGGCCTAGGTCAGCCAAACCAAATCTAAAACTCATTGGCTGACGGTGGGCATGCAGTCTTCGCAATGGTATACATTCTCGTTATCGGGGAAGCACGTGATGTGAAAACAAACGCGCTCGAATACAAAGACCTATGTAGGATAATGCCGAATGTAAAAGTCACAAATAAAATAATTTTTACGAATAGGCCTCTTTGGGCAAATTTTCCCCCTTTTTTTACTTTA